CGAGTCATCTCACCAAGTCATCATGTTAAGACAGGACTCACTTGATAAAATGACTGGAGTCTGGTGTGCTATTGCTTGGTTGGAAAGAAAACCTGCAGCCACACGGCCCTTTCTGGAACCAGTTTGACACCCCTGCTCTAGAGGAGAACATGAAGCTGTTCATGTTACTATAGTAGCTCAGGCCACAGGACGGTTACACAGCTTAACAGAAAATAAGTCCAGATGTTGCTCCTATGAAAGACAAAAAAAAAACAGATTTAAAACATAAAAAATATAATTTAACTGTTGCAGCGGCAAAGGATTGTGGGATAGAAATGTTCTTTCTCCTTTCACATTGGACAGTGAATGTATTGCTGAATCAGATAATAAAGCGAGCACTGGAGCTCATTTCCTCAGCATTTGGGAAATTTGAACAGCACTTATCATGGCTATCACTTTAATATTTATAGGTCATTTCACTCAGGGAGGAACCTTTTATAAAAATGGCTTTTTGACCGGATCCAGTGTCTGTTTGTTTTAGAGAGAAGCCGCAGCTGCAAATCTGGAAGAGCATCATAACTTTGTTTCCTATTTATTTCGGCCCCTATTTTGCAGCTGAATCGACTACTGATAAAAAACAAAAAAATAACCCAGAGAAAAGTTTGGACAGCACCATTTTTATATACGTATGTGTTGACAAGAAACATGGGATTTCTCTGGGGGAAGCAGAGGGTATGACAAACAAACACCAATGCCTGTTGGTTGCCTATCCATTAGTGTGACTGTATAGAGCAGGGACTGGTGACATGTTGTCAGACTTTATTAGAGACAAGCACCCGGGCGCTCATTTAGACACACAGCTGACATGATCCTTTACCTTCAGATTATACAAACGGATCTGAAAGAGGCTGAAAGAGGTAAACTGAAGGCCTGGGTTGTGTTCAAAACTGTAAAATATTCAGCACTGAAATTTAAAACGATAATTTGGGATATTTAAGTGTGATCTAGAAGAACAAAATGATTCAAGGTATATTTTGTATAAACCTAAAATATAGATTTATACAGATGCAACTGATATTGGACTCTGCAACTCCTTAAGTTTCCTGCAGGAAATCTTAAGGAGTTTTCTGCATTGTAAAAATAATTCATGTACTTTTACATTTTTGCATATTAGCCTCGTGACAACAATCAAATTCAATGCACTCTATTGAGATTTTTTAACAATAGGCCTTCAGGTTGTTGTGCATAACCTAAATCAAAGCAACACATTAGATAGCTTTCAGTACTTTCAGTATTTACGTCTGTGTGGTGTGCATTTGACTTTTGGGCTGCACAGTGGGGATGGTTGTAGGTTCTTGGTTTGGTTCCTGGCCTTGAGGATTTTCTCTATAGAGTTAAAATATTCTCTACAGACACTCCAGCTCAACCAAACTGATGGGTCGAGTTGTCCAATGTGTTTCCTGCTAATGGTCCAAACACTGCCAGAGACAACCAGCAGAAGATGGAATGATGGGTGGATTGCTTCAGAATAAACAAATTAGGGTTTTAGAATCCACTGTTTATTTTAACCCTTTAACTGCCTTCTTAACCCCCAACTTCCATTTTGTATAGAAACTCGTTAACGATTTAATTGGCCAGGCGGTCAAAGGGTTAATTTTAAGTAGGTGCCATGTGAAGGCTTCAGTTTGTTAGTTAGGCTTCAGTATTAAAGACTAAGAAATACAGCAGACAGGTCAGGAAGAAAGCTGTGGAGAAGTTTAATGGGGCCATAGAATGATTATATAAGGTATTTGGTGCTGAATAGGGTGTGTAACATTGGTTGGGTTGAAAATTGCATATTTGCTGTTCCATGAACTCTAATGCAAGCCTGGTTAAAAGGCCTAGAATGAAATGACAGGTTTTCTTCCTTTTATACTATGCTCATGAATATTTAAATGAGCACTGATGTGCACTGATTGGTTGGTTTACAACGAGCGAAGCTGCTGAGCAAAGACGCGTCATAGCAACAAGCACTGAAACTCACTGAAACATCAAATTGTTGATATGGTAGGGTGACCAGACGTCTTCTTTTTCTCGGACATGTGCTACTTTTTATACTTTTTATGTCTGGGGGGAATTTCAAAATCGTCCAAGATTTTGGTTGGCTACAGTGCAGCAGAACCGAATCGTCAGCTCAGAGCTGGTCAGGGAACCCCTGGTTCAAATGGCCCAGCAGGCCAAAATAATGCCATGGTGGTCATTAGGGGTGTAAATAATAATCGTTTTGTATCGATGCATCGATCCAAAAGCCGACGATCCGATGCATCGACACGTCCGCAAGATCGATTCATGTTTTTTTTTTCCTCCGGTCTATTTTTATCCATTTGCTATTTTGCCCTCCTACCTCGCTTCCTGGTTATACTCTTACAGCAGTTTGTTGCAGCAAGCTTCACACAGACATTTTTAAATTATGCTCAGTATTGAAGCGTGGTCTGAGCTACACGCTGTGGGTCTAGATACGGCCGAGGCGGCGAGGAATTGGGGACGAGTTTAGTCCGACGACGGAGGGACATGAGGGCAAAAAGAGCAGAGATTCAGCTGGAAAAAGGGTCCCAGCGTTCTCGCGCACCTCGATCTTCTAGCGGGTCAAACTTCACGAGTTGTTTTCCGTAATTTCGGCCATAAAAACAAAACAAGCCGGCCTCCTGTCTGCTGCACTGTTTGCGGTCAACTACAATCTGGGAGAGGAGCAGCGGAGCGTCTCTCAAGGGGGCGGTGACGTCGACACTCTGGAGCCTTCTTCTTCTTCCTTTTTTTAATGGCGGTTGGCAAACAACTTATAGGTGCATTACCGCCACCTTCCAGAATGGAGTATGGACCAGACAAACTATTATATTCTCCCTAAAATACCCGTTCTTCTTAGAAAATTAAAAATACTACCAAAAACTACATCCCCAGATGACCTTTGAAACAATTCCCTTATTTCTAGTTTATTTTTATTCCTGTCTAACTCTCTAAGCAACATATCTCTTTCCTGAGTATATTTATTACATTCTAAAAAAATATGTTGGACAGTTTCTCTGGAGCCGAGGTATTGCATTGAACTCATTACACTGATATTGTGCAGTATTTTTGCAGTATTTTTTGATGCAACTTTTCTACTTCTGTTATTTGCTGTTGTTTCTAAAGAAAATGCATAATGATATTACAGCTTTCATTGATTTATTTCAAACTTGAAACTTTGTTTAGCCTGTAAGGTTTAAAAAAAATAATAATAAAAAAAATAAAATAAAAATAATCGATTAATCGAATCGAATCGAATCGTGGTGTATTCTTGAGTATCGAAAATAATCGAATCGTTGAGTCAGGAAATCGTTGGGTCAGGAAATCGATACTGAATCGAATCGCCATGATGGATGTGATTTACACCCCTAGTGGCCATTAATAAAATAGATCAATTAAAATAATACTTACAGCTTGCAGTTGTGATTTCCTTACGGTCAGAACAGCCCCTTGTTTCAGTGAAAGAAGTTTGGAAAATCCTGCTTTGAAATGTCCACGATTTTGAAAGCTGTCTTTGGTAAAATGCTTAGACCAAATGAGCAGCTGAGCATTAAACTTTGCAGGGATCTTCTGATAGACAAAAATAATCCATACCTATCGAGTCTTTGGATCCTTGGGAAGACTGAAAATTTCCCCGTTCTCCATGCAACCTGCAACACTGCATTTACGCCTGTGCTTCTGGCTCATTTTAAATAGAGGAACTGCCTGCTCTGTAATTCTTGTAGAAGTAAGCCCAGCTGTTGGCTAAACAGCTAAACTGGAGTCTTACATCTATCTCTATTTATGTTCTTGGGCCACAACATCCCTGAATTGATGTCAATTCGGGGATGTGGAAGATTGGCAGAAATAGAGGCGTCGTTTTCAGACTTAAAGGTGTCTGTGTGAGTCTGTGGCACGGCTTTAATATTGATATCCACATTGCAATCCATCCGTCTGATTTTGAGATGTTTTTTTAAACCATCTTGTTGTTCAAGTCCCTAAAGACTTGGAGCTCTAACTGCAGCAAAAGCTTCTACAAAGTACCGAATCAGGCGGCTCAGTAACATCGAAGTTTCTGGCTCTAACTCAGCAAAAAGTGAGGAAGTTCAAGGGGTATGCATGCATTTGCAAGGCACTGCGAGTATTTTAGTGTTCATCTGTGAATTGTGTTGTATTTTGGTTCCATCCTGCTTGGTGACTCACCATTGAAGGGCCGATACGCCATGCTACATCTTAGAGAAGAAAGCCTACGTACACAGCAGAGTGCAGTGATGGCCTCCATTAAAGGGATTATGAAACCAGCTTCAGAGAGACAGGCTGGAAGATGGTTGGGGTTACATGTGGAACACATACACACAGATATGCCCACGTACTGTACGTACGGAGCTCTCCGGCAGGCAGGGGGAATCTCTCACTTGGTAATAATTATTATGAAACGGCGCCACACTGAGCACTTGTTCCCTTTGCTCAGTGTGATGTCAGGTCTGTCCCTTCATCTTTCCGTCAGGAACAAGTACACTCAGTCCTATCAGCTTTCTGTTCTGTCTTAAGTTTCTTACTCATCTTTTTCTTTTCTCCCAGCGTTATTTACCTGGAGCCCCTGCCTCCTTCATGAGTTTGGGCTTGTCGAGTCCCTGGCTCCGGCGCAGCCTGATGTTTTTTTAAAGGAAACATAACGAGACAACAGGGACAACAGGGGCTTAGTGTCTTGTCTCTTTTCTTCTTCTTTGTCTTACATCTCAGCATTTTGTGTGTAATCACACTCCTTTAGTGATACTCCACGGTACTCTTCGTCACATCTCGGTGATGGCTGCTTTGTGGACCTCTTAGTTTTTCAACAGTTTTCAATCCCTCTTACTGTCAAGAGACTGACACTGGGTCCCCATCCCAGGACAACACTTCATAGCTCTGACTTATGAGTTTTCAGTTTACTCTTCACCCACTTTTACTCCGGAGAGCAGTTAACCTAAAGTACCTGTTTTTTCTTGTTCTTCTTTCAGCTAAGAAAGCACCGGACGGCTCGGTGATCGCCAACGGCTACTGCGACTTTTGCCTCGGAGGCTCAAAGAAGACGGGCTGTCCTGAAGACCTTATCTCCTGTGCGGACTGTGGACGCTCAGGTAGGACACCGCAGAAGGGAATGATTGGCAGGAGGAAGGCAGCCATCTGATGACCCACAGTTTGGAGATTTTTCATTTTCAAAGTACACCATTTGTGTTTTTAAAAAAGTATAAGTATTAGCCATTTTGACCAAACTTAAAGGGTTAGTTCTGAATTTTAAAAGTGAGGTTCTATGAAGTTTTTATGAGCAATCGTTCCCTGTCTTACAGAAATGTCTTTGGGCTGGGCAATAAATCCATATCAATATATATTGTGATAGACGCCTGAAAAATATCAATGTAAAAAATAGTGTTGCACGGATACTAATACCAGTATCAGGCGGGGCCCGGATCCAGCACTAAAATGGTGGTATCTGTATTGGGGAGTACCAATAATTAGGGCACGATGCCATTTTGAGAGCCAAAAGTTTATTCAACCTTTGTGACCCATTCCAGGTAGGCAATAAGAAGTTCTACTGGATTCACTTTATATTAGTTTTTTTCCCTGTTTCACAAAGGTAGGCACCAGATTAACAAAGCCATGATGGCAATTATTTTACATCCAAGTAGTATGCAGTTCTTCATATATACACACACACATCAATTTCAAACAGATGGTATTGCTTTGGTATCGGTATCGGCCAATGCTGCCCAGCTAGTTATCGAGTATCCGTATCGGGTCCAAATAATGGCATCTGCGCAAAACTAGTTAAAAATATGTCTGGTAAAATTTTGTGAACTTTAATTTAATGTTTCACTCTCTTATTGCCAAACTAAGCAAGACCGGTAGTAGGAATGGACTGTTTTAAAGGTTAGAGGTTATGTTTAAATAGGGTTAGGGTTACAGTTTAGTTTCAGGCTTTTTTTTAATGGGTTCTCATTTCAAAAAGGGGGGAAAAAAAATAATTGCCAACCTTAACTGATATGAGAGGTATATATAGGGATATATTTTTCAGCCCTATAGCCCAGCACCAGGTGTCACATAGACGGCTGTGTTCCAACGTCCACCCTAACCCCTAGATCTCTCAGTCACTATATAGAGCAAGGATTATATGGTGGACTTTATAGTGAACTCATTTAACTGACCGTTTGGTCAGATGATCGGTACTTTTGGCTCCCCGTTGGTCACGTGACTTAGCCTCTCTGCACGGTGCCTGCGCCATCTTTGCTATTTGTCGCTGTAATAACAAATCCCATAATGCTTTATGAAGAGAGTTCTCCCCGCAAAGCATGCAGGGATATCTGTTCGTCTAGTAACCAAGGATGATCACTAATTTTCAAGGTGGATTATGGGAAATTTCGAGTCCACTACTTTTTCATCCACTAGACATTCGGACACTCATTTAAAATGGTATAACCTCTCTATATATAGTGCCATATATAGTGATTAGGGCGGACACATGGATGGCCATTATGTTTGTAGAACAGTAAACCACAGAGTGGTGGAAGGCTAGAAGATAATGACGAAGATGTTCTTTGCTGTTTTAAGCAAACAAACAATCCTAAAAAAAAAAAACATGTTGGCCAAATACAACACTTTTTATGTTGATATTATCTTCACTTCAACAAGAGATCTTTATTAGCCTGTCATCTCTATCTCAGCTAAACAACACACGTACGTCGCTAAACTTGGCTAATTGTCTATTTGTTCGAAATATTAGTTTATAAAGAAAGATTTTTTTCACTATGCTCAGTGACATTATTGCATCACTTTTTGCTCTACTACTTATAACCTAAAACTAGCTAACTGTGTAATACCAATAGCGGCAAGCACTGAGTGTGTAATATATTAATTGTTTGCTCTGAAACATGGATTGTTTCGCAGCATTTTTTTGTAGCTTCAAATGTGTTCCCTTTTAAAATAAGTTCACTTCCCAGAAGGGATATTAAAATAAAAGCTAGGTTTTGAAAGTAATATGTCGTTTATATTTTTTACTATGAAACTTAAATTAGAAAAAAAAAAAAAAAAGGAAACAATCATATTTAGTTGGGGAAAAAAAATCAAAAATTTGATTTTCTTTATTTTTATTGCCCAGCCCTACGCTTATGTCAATTAAGAAAGTCGGACGTATCAATCATTGCCAACGTGCTGTAACTCCAGATTGAGAGCAAATATTTAGATTTTATGTCAGGCTCTCATTGATAATGATTATTTTCCTGGGTGATTGTAGAACTTATAGCTGTTTGGTGGATTAATACTGCGCCCAACTTCCAACTACTTAGCTTTAGCTTAGCAACACTGCAGTTATTTGACTGTAAAACAGCAACAAAGTTAACAAAAATGTCTTAGAAATAGGTAGATAAGTTATATCCTGTTATTTATAGTAAAGTATCTACTTGCTCTGAATACTTTTCTACATATTGATGTCTGCTACTGGGGGAATTATTATGGCTAAATAAACTTATGAAACCTCAACACAAGAAATCTGAACTATCCCTTTAAAGATAAAAGGACCATGCCATTGTTTCTTTTTTTGTTGTTTTTTTTATTTGTATTTGAGCCCTTTAAATAAAATTCATGGACTTATATGTCACGGATAACCTACAGTGTGAAAATCAGATTGCATGAAAGCTATTTGTTTTTTTAAAGGATTTTTTTGTTGTTGTTTAATGCATATAAGTGAGCATGCTCTACAACATCAAAATACAAATTATACAGTTATCAATAAATTCAAATACTTATCCAGTCACTGCCAGCTGGTTATGTTTATTGGGAAGGAATGAGTGTCTGGGAGGAAAGAGCAAATGAAAACAGAGCAGCTCATATAGTGTGAGGTGATTGTTTATACTCATCACTTTATTTATTGTTCTGTAACCTTATTTCAGCTCAGGGGATTTCAACATCAGTTACGTATACAGTAAAGCCAAAAATTATTCATACTACTAGAAGTTTTAGGTTTAACGTTATATTGAAATTTTTGGTTTTGTTAATGTTTGGCTCAGCAAAAGTTCCGACTTAAACCTACAGTAATAGAAAAGATTGGGGTGAGAGTAGCATACCTACGGAGCCCCCAAAGGGACATGGAGGGGAAAAAAAGTTTATTTTTTGTGAGATCTCGCAATACTTTTGTGAGATCTCGCAAAAGTATTGCAGGATCTCGCAAAAGTTTATTTTTTGTGAGATCTCGCAATACTTTTGTGAGATCTCGCAAAAGTATTGCGGGATCTCCCAAAAGTTTATTTTTTCCCTCCATGTCCCTTTAGGGGCTCCGTACATACCAGTTAAAACGTGCAAGCAATCTTTTATAGGAAGGAATTTATTGCCAGTAAGGATTTTTTAAAACTGAAATGCACAAATATATTATCAATTTAAAGTGGTAGTTTAAACTGAACTTTTTTTTTTTTTTTTTTCTTCTTTTTTTATTTTTCCCCCCTTTTTTTTGATAAGCAGCTCTTCTTTTTTCTTATCAGAAAAAAAAACCTTATGATTGAGCTGCTTTTGTATATCGTCCAAATCCCTGAGGGGTATGAATAATTTCAGGTTTCATCTTTCATGCTTAGGTATGTGTATTTGGTGGAAACTTTTATCCAAATCGATGTGAAAATGAAGACATAATAATGCAGTTTAAAGGAAACAATAACAATAAAAAAAAACCTCCCGGCTTCATGTGTTGATATAAAGTAGTAGACTTATGAGTTTGATGTAGCTCATATTTTAAACAAATGGTGCTTAGGACCTGCAGCAACTCTTAAAAAACCTGAATCCTGCTCTCCAGTTCCAGGATAAAATATTTTTAAACCACTTTACATAAATAAATCCAGAGAGAAGCCATCTTTGAACAACCTTGTATAATACGTTTCCCTAATTGTCATTTTATATAATAACTGTTACATAAGTTTACTGTCATCTGTGAGAGTGATGGTCTCCGTTTGCTCATGACTGAAGGTTTTCTTTATTAAATGATTGTGTTACTTTTTCCATCGTCAACCTTGTTTTGCTATTGAGAGTTATTGTACATTTTGGTTGCATGTAAAACCAACCAATGTTGTGTAATTGGTGCAGAACTTTTGTATCGATCTACCATGACTGCATGTACTGTATGGATACATATATAGTTATTCTTTTCATCATTTTGTTATTATGTAAAATAAAAAAGAAAACTGAACAAACATCACTTTTGTGAGCTGTAGTGAATGGGCTAATGGAAAAAAACAACAAAAAAAACTTTGGTATGGTCCCTTTCTGTTTGTTCCCACCAACACTGACGGTTAAAGAGACTAAAAGGACGGGCTTGAAAAGTTACAGTAAATCTTTATCTTTATCATGAACCTCTATCTACAGTCCTGGACACATTTATTGGCACCCCTGGCAATAACGTGTAAGAAGCTTTAAAGTAAATTTATTTTTTATTGCAAGAGTGTAATTTCACACAGAGGCATCTAGAAAAGCAAACCTAAATGGAAATTTATTGAGTAGGGAGAAAAATACCATAATTTTTTTCATAAAATCCCTGGAGTTGCAGTTACCGATACCCGATGTAATAAAAAAAAACAAAAAAAACAAAAAAACAACCACATTCAGCCATTTTCTCCTATTCTGTATTTTATTAAATGGAAAAAGCTACCAGATATATATATTTTTTTTATAAGATGTAGAGACGCACTAATCAGATACCTGGATCAGATATTGGCTCCAATATTGACTAATCACCTGGATCCAATATTAGGGATTTGATATCGGACATCCAATCCAGTGCACTTTACAAAGAACTGTTATTTGTTTATTTTGCTGCTTATTTGTTTATAAATAGTATAAATTATTTTTATAAGTGAGGTCATTTATTACCTTTTCTTAACAATGTTTATGTCTGGGCTAAATCCTTCAGTCACATGGCCAAATATATGGTTCAGTTAAATCAGATTATTATGGGATATATGCAGATACACTCAGCCCAGGTATCGGTATTGGATTGAATTGGAAAAAACTGGATCAGTGCATCGCTATTAAAGTGGATTCTTTTAAACAGGCCCACAGCACCATAGCTCCTCTAACATGCTTCACAGTGAGGATAGCGCCACCTTTTCCCCCTTATATTGATGTAATGTTGTACTGTAAAAAGAGATCGACCGATACATAAAAAAAAAAAGTTACTGTTTTTTCTCTCCATTTAAATGACAAAAAGACACAATGATAACAAATGTTGCACATGCCTTATCTGATACAAAAAGAGACATTTATGACTCAAACACAATGAAAAAAATAATCGAACCCCTTTTAGCACTTATTTAATCATATTGAGATACTTTAAAACAACTGTTTCATGTCCTACCCTGATAACACAAAACAATTGTGTTAAAGTAACTAAATATGATTAAGTAAATGCCAAAAAAGGTTGCATTATTTTTTCAGTGCACTAACAATGAATAGCAGATAGAAGTAGAAGCAATGCATGCGCTTAACTTGATTTCAAGGCATGGCTGTTGAATGCATTAATGCATTAGCCATGGTATTAATGTGGGCCGATACGGATGCCAGAACAAAAAGTCGAAAAATATTTCTAACTGTAAACCCCCTGGAGTGTTTTTTTTTCTGTAAAGCATAACTTTAGGCAAGGCAAGGCAAATTTATTTGTATAGCACAATTCAGTACACAGACAATGCAAAGTGCTTTACATGATTAAAATATAGGAAAATAAAATCAGAGCAAGTAGAAGAAAAAATTAAAAATTAAAAATAAAAAAAGACGCAGAAACAAGAAAGAACATTAAAAGCAGTTGGACTAAAAAAAAAAAAAAAAAATTCCAAAAGTAAAGGGTTTCAGTTTAAGTCCCAGTTCCATGATGGCAAATTAAGGGGATTGTAGTAAAGGGGTTAAAATCTTTGAAATAAAGAAAATGTCTAGATTCATTTTACATATCAAGATAAATTCACTCAGTTAAAAAATACGATTGTCTCTGATGTTTTAGGTCAGATTGTTTTAGCACTAATGAAACTGAGGAATATGCCAAGATCGTAAAGTCTGATATTTGCAAAAACCAAATGGCAGAGGTCAACCGAGGCTGAAGCGGTGGGTTTATAAAATGTGCATTTGGGAATTTTCCAAAGTGTACATCAGCTCTGTTTTCCTGGAACTGAACCACATCCCAGATGCAGACTCACCCCTGGGTGTGTTTTTAGGCTTAGTTAAATCTGAGAATGGAAATACACGCCTGGTATAATGAGAAAGAAGCTACATGGCTGCATGGGGCACCTAAGAGATGTTCTCATATAAGAAAAGAGCTCTGATGCACATCTACTAAATTTACCATTTAAAACTTTGACTTTTGGTAATATCTGTTACAAATGCCTCAATTAAAAAAGCCATTTGTTTCCTTAATTTTAAGTTGCCTTTAATAAGAAAAAAAGAAATAAACAACATGCATATCTTTTATTAAAAAAATTCTGTTTTTGGGTCACATTTTAGAGAAACTAATGAGAATTTCCAAAAACTCTGTTGAATATAAAATAATACAGTATGAATAGAAAAATAATGAAGCTTAATTTATTTGAAAGGCATTTTTAGGGGTGCCAATAGATGTGCTGTGTTATTTGGTCAAAGCCATATTCATTCTTAGGTTTGGTTTATCTTTCCCTCTCAGTGAAAGCGCTGATGTTTAAAGCTGCATTTTTTTTTTCTTCTGTGAAAGATGAATTTGTTTTAAAGTGTTTTTGCATCTGTTTCCCAGGGGTGCCGACAAATTTGTCCACGTCTGTTTATTGTAGTTACCAAAAACACAACAAAAACAGATACATTCAAAACAGATTAAAATATTGTGAAAATTTCAATGTTATGTCACAAATTTTAGAAAGTATAACTGTTCTTTTTATTTAGATTTGATCATTATGGCTTACAGATAATCAACTATCCTGAACACCAACAGCTAAGGTGGAATAGAGGCCCAGGCTGCTTTAAAAGCTGCCTTCAGGGTATCTCTGCCCTGTTGGGCCTGGTGTCATTTATTCTCTTCCTGACAACGACCCATAGACTCTCTAAGGGGTTCAGGTCTGGCCAGTTTGCATCCCAATGCAGTCCTGCAGGAAAATAAAATAAGCATCTCCATTCAGCTTTTCAGCAACAGAAACAGGAAGGGATACAATCATCTCTGATAGATAGGTTTGCAGACTATGGACTCCAAAAAGCTCATTGGACCAACACCAACACCAGCATGAGACATGGACTCCCTCCACTCTGCACTGGAAAAAAATCAAAATCTAGACAAGTCATTTTTTCTTAAAACAAGTGACTTTTTCTTGGATTTAGGAGGTAAAAGAGACATGTTGCCAATGGAACAAGACAATTTACACATAAAATAAGAAAACACAATTGCATTGTCTTATTCCAAGTTCATATTATCTAATTATCTTATTTTAAGATTAAGAATATTCATTCCATTGGCAAACGATCTCATTTACCTACTCAAATTAAGGGTAAATACACGTAATTTAAGACATTTTTACTTATTTGTATATTGTTTTTCCAGTGTGGGGCCTTGATTTCCAAACGAAATGCACGTTTCTTTTAAAAGGAGGCATTTAAACTACTATTTGACTTTACTTTTCTTTTTCTCTAGTGTGTCTGGTCTAGTCAGAAGGAAGTCCAGTTTTCAGCCCATGTTTAGGATTTATCCTTGCTTAGAGACTCCAGATTTAGTCATGTGAAGCTCTCCAAAATTCTTGGATACATTTTTTTTCCAAACAATCCCCATAAAATTGTATTGGTGCAACTTTTACCTGAGTACTTTTTACTTCCGCTAAACTTTTTTTGAATGTGCTGAGATGCAGCTCTTTGAGAATAACCAGCTTCTACCACAGTGAGACACCATTATGAGGTTCATGAAACTTTTCCAGGAGTTTTGACTTCATTAGCTGATTAGGGTCTACACTGCAAAAACCATCTAGAATTAAGTAAAATAATTCTCAAATTGAGTGTACTTGCCCTTAATTTGAGTACATAAATAAGATGATTTGCCAATGGAATTAGTATTATTACTCCTAAAGCAAGATAATTATAATACTATGCACTTGAAATAAGACAAAGCATTTTTTTTTCTTATTTTAAATGTAAATTATCTTGTTCCATTGGCAAAGTATCTCAATTACCTCCTCAATTCAAGAAAAAGTGCACTTAATTTAAGCAAAAATTACTCATTTAGATTTCCATTTTTTGCAGTGTAACTCCAAAGGTCTCCAATATCTTCCTTTTTCCAAAATGTCAATATTTTTAAGCTAATAAAAGTTGGGTATTTGTTATCTGTAAGTCACAGATATCTAATTTACAGTACATAAATCCTTGAAATAGTTCAGCAAATATGTAATTAATTTATACCATGTAACAAATTATTGAAACTTTTCACAATATTATAATTTTTCTTACATTTACTATAAAAGTAAAAGGTAGTATAAGATTTAAATAATAATAAAATGGTTTAATTACTTCTGCTGACTTAAATGATTCTGTAATTTTCTGAATGTATTTCTTCTAACGTAAACGCTGCCCATCCCGTTATCACACATATCTTATCCATAGCCAAACACATTGAACGTACTTTTCCAAGCATGACACAAACAAGCTTTTACACGGATCAATAATATAGATTGTGAATTACTGTCCTCAAAACACAGAAGAAATGACAGAAAATACTGTGTGGCCATCTGCTTGTGTACATGTGTTGTGTTTGTGTGTGGGTGTGTGTGTGTGTGTGTGTGTGCGCCCAGGCCACCCGTCCTGTCTGCAGTTCACAGTGAACATGACGGCTGCGGTGAGGACATATCGCTGGCAGTGCATCGAGTGCAAGTCCTGCAGCCTGTGTGGCACCTCTGAGAATGACGTAGGATCCCTGCACCATGCTACATGTTTACTCCAAACATACGTGGCTGCACACACACACACACACACACACACACCCAATCAATGCGCAGGTGCATCTCGATAAATTTAAATGTTTGACGTTTTTTATATTTTTTATCAAAAAGTGAAGATTCATTACATGTTGAGGGATATATTTCAAGCATTTCCCTTTTTTTATCATATTGCTTTCAGCCTAAAGTCAACCTACTTTAAATTTATTGAAAAGTTATAATATTACTTAAAATCAATGAGAAAGGATTAAGTGTACGCTCCCAGTTCTTTGTTGGTGCTCCTTTTAATTGGTTGTTGTATTGATCCAGAGCTGCAGCCACCTCAGCTTGTGGCTCAGGTGAGGAGAGTCTTGGTTTCTTTCTTGCCTTTAAGTCATTTGTTAGCTTAACCATCTTTCCTCTACCTCCTGAGGGTTCTCCAAATTTTCCGTGTAGAGTTCAGGGCAGGTCAGTTTGCGCCAATCAAGCTTAGTGATACCATGATCACCAAAGCAGCTGTTTTTGTAGGTTGAGGCAATTAAAAAGTGCTGCAAGAAAATAAAACCAGCATCTCTCTAAAGCTCGTCAGCAAAAGGAGGATTAAGGTGTTTCAAAATTTGGACTTTGATAAACTCAAATGGACCAACACCACATGGTTCTCCAAAAACATGATTGACTGTGGGAGCTTCACTCAAGTCCTCATAAACATGGATTCTCTCTCATAACTCTTCTCTGAGACTTTGATTTTTAAATGAAAATTTAAAATTTACCTCCGTCCAAAACAGGACTTTAAACAAGGTCTGCAGTAGCCCATGTTCAGGGTATATACAGTATGTGTAGTAAGTGCTGAAGTCCCACTGCAGTCCATATAATGGGAATCTCCCTGAACTCTCAAATAATCTACTTTACGATCTTCTCAAGGACACAGCATTTCTGTTGCTTGTGCAATTTTTTGATTTTATTTAACTTTCTTATGATCCTAAATTTCATCAATCTGCGAAAAGCCTGCATCTTTAGCCTAACAGCTGTCAAGGTAGCTGTCTTCCCATGTTTGTATTAGACCAATCACTTCTGCAGCAGAAAGCTTCTTTTATTGGTTGCAGTTGATATTCTGAAGCTGAATTTAGGACTTTCTTTCCTTATTCTTAATTAAAACTTAAATATGATATGATTCTCTTTATGAGATATATTGATATATTTTCTAATTTATCGAGATGCACCCTTAGTAGTGTCTAATATTGAACATCCTATTATCTATTGACTCATGCAGCAGTACAGACGTGGACAAATTTCTTGGTGTTTTCTAAAACAAGTTAGCACAGAAAGCCAAAAAAGCCATTTCCAAAATTGCATCCCTTAAGATTTATCCAATTTATCCAATCCAATTTCTAAAGAAAATCTTGTAGCTTTTTGTTTATTAATCCAGTATTTTTATTTTATTTTTTATTAAAGAAGACAAATGTAAATGTCATGGACTAAAGCAGATGGTAACCTTAAATTACTTCATGGTGCTGACTCTAATCTGCAGGTCTCAATGAAATTTCTGCTATTAATATCAGGTAGTTTGTTCCTCTCCTGTAGGTCAATCTTCTCCGGCTGTCTTTGGAATCAAGTTTTGAGTAATTTTCAGACTTTTCCATGGATGTTTAAAATGATTAGGAACTAGGTCCATTAATGATCATGGGTGCATAGAGTCCAGAGTTTTTTTGTTGTTGTTGTCATTATTAAGTGTTTTTAAGTGAGTTATAACAGTGTTAATGGCTCCATGACCAATGGAAGAGGAATGGCTGAACCATTTGACATAAACAGGATCCCTTGGTTTTATTAAGACTTTGCTCCAAACTATTTTACAGCTGCAAGAAATGATTTCCACTCCATGTTTCACAATAGCTCTGGTGCTCCGGTCTATTCATTCAATGTTATTTTTTCTCTTAGTAAAATTAAAACTTATGTGATATTCTTCTATTTAAATAATATTGTCCTCTAAACTTTGAAGGCTATTAGTTCGGATTTTAGCCTTATCCTGTCAGGCTTTCGGGTGATTTTCCCTCATTAATGGGCCCCTCTTGAGTCTGCTATTATGTCCATTATAGCCCAGATTGGGACTGTGGGCTCAGCTGAGCCTAAGCTAAAACCACAGGAAACTCTGTGAGCCTGTCTACTATGTTAAAGAAGATTGCAGCTTTATGAGTGAAGGGCCGAGGCGAGCCAGTTTTCAGTAGCATAATCTGGTGTTACGGCTTGATCCCCAGTGGGCCTCAGCAGCTGGCCGCTCACATTGAGTCTGGTTCTGCTGGAGGTTTCTTCCTGTTAAAGGGGAGTTTTTCCTCTCCACTGTCTCTCCAAGCATGCTTATTGTCAGGGTTTGTCTTCGAGTCAATGAGTCGATGCAATCAACTGGTTTACCTTAGATAGAAAACTTTGAATCAATTGATTGTATGATCTGGTGAACTGTAAACTGCCTTTAGATGTCATGTGATGTGAATTGGTGCTATATAAATAAACTGAATTTAATTGAATTAGGGTAGCTAGGTTGTTATCTTTTAAAAGACTGAATGTGGAAAGAGAAGATTAAAAGATTTAAACAAGACTATTATAAAACTAAATGATGAAGGGGGCGCCAATCAGTCTGTGTAATTATTTTAGCCAATGAATCATCTAGTAGTATTTGATTATTGTGAAACAGTCCTGATTTTTGTCACTATTTTTAGCACTAAAACACATAAATTATCTGGGGTAGAATATTTCTAGCTTTTAAATGTAATCATTAAAGCTTACAGATAATGAAAACCCCACATTTCAGTGTATTGGAAATTAGGCAAGGGGGGTTTTATTTATAGAGCAGGGTAGTTCCCATTTTTTTATTGTTAGATCCCCCTTTAATTTAAAGGAAGTTCTTCATGCCGCCTCCAAGCAAACTTTTTTGTCAGTTGAACAAATAAACATCCACTGATCTAAACAATATTTAAAAAAAATAAACTGTAATCCTCTTTAAATAATAAAGCTACCTCTTTTAAATTATTTTAAATTGTATTGTATATTTTACAGTTTAACAGTATTCAATGTTGCCATCAATAATTTTTTTCAAATTACCTCTGAAAATTGTACGTTTATCGAGCTCATTGTTCCCATGACTGATGCCTTTGTTACTGCATCGATGCTGTGTAGCATGGAGGGCGATCAGCTACGGTGTTGCTTTGACATATCTGTCTTGCTGGGATTGCTGTCTTTCATCTTCCTCTTCACATATTGGGGGTGAAGATGAAAGCTTTTTTGCTGATCCATCCAGCCCAGTAGCTCTACGTATGGTTATTCACCCAGCTTTGGGAACCTTTATCTTCTTAAATCTTGTCAGTGGAAGGAGGCATAAAGTGCTCTATGATTTCCTGGTAGATAGATGCATTGACTGTGGTCTCCAGAAAACCTAGTGAACTAACACCAGTAGATGAGATGGCAACCCAAATGAATTGTAATGGTTGAATCTTCAAACTGGACTTCTAGCAACACACTCTGTTTTCCTTCACTCTTTTATAGATTCTTGATCCTTGATTTCCAAATGAAAAACAATCTTCTTATGAAAAGAGAGGTTTGGATCACTGATCAACAGTCTGAATTTGTGTTTCCTGGTTCAGAAGTGCCCTAACAGGAGGAATTAGCCACTTGTAGCCGATATATAGGACTCTTAATCGATTGACTCCAAGGCAAGGCAAGGCAAGGCAAGGCAAGGCAAATTTATTTGTATAGCACAATTCAGTACAAAGACAATGCAAAGTGCTTTACATGATTAAAATACAGGAAAATAAAACAGAATCAAAGCAGGTAGGAAAAAATAAAAAAATGCAGAAACAAAAAAGAATATTAAAAACAGGTAGACTAAAGAAAATAAAAAAGTTAAACTAATGATGTTTTAGTTGAACTGTTTAACTGGAACAGTCGAAGGCAATCCTAAACAAATGTGTTTTTAGTCTTGATTTAAAGGAACTCAGGCTTTCCGCACTTTTACAGTTTTCTGGAAGTTTGTTGCAGATAAGTGGAGCATAGGAACTAAATGCTGCTTCTCCATGTTTAGTTCTGGTTCTAGGTATGCAGAGCAGGCTGGAGTCAGAAGACCTGAGTGGTCTGGAGGGTTGATACACTGATAGCAAGTCTGTGATGTATTTAGGTGCTAAGCCATTCAGAGATTTATAGACTAACAGAAGTATTTTAAAGTCTATTCTCTGAGAGACAGGGAGCCAGTGGAAGGACTTTAGAACTGGGGGGTGATGTGCTCTACTTTCTTAGTCTTAGTGAGGACACGGGCAGCACTCCAGCCTCACTCTTCTCCTTTTAATATTCAAGAAAACTCTTTCATGGAATAGCTTAACCCTCCTCTCAAGGCTTTGGTCATTCCCTGTTCCTGGTGAACCTTAGCATTATTATATATTTGTAAAATAAGCCCTAAAGTCCTTGCCTTTCACTGTTAAAATAACTATATTATTTCCACCACATACTTCAGACACGCAGGTATACATTTATTTTCGTTTCACTGAAACACTTTTTAAAAATGTTACTAGTTGTTGTCTTAAAATCTCATAGGGTAACAAATTTGTCAACGTCTGTCACTGCTGAGGGTGCTGCTCCCGCATTTAATCCCAATCCACTCACCAAGGCATTTATTGTAAATATAAAAAAACATAAAAAAGAAGGGCGTTAACATGCAAACACAGTAATTTTCAACTCGTATCTTTTACCAATGTTTGCTACAATGTGCAAATACCAAATAAACCCTGCTGCAATAAATCTGTTTGTTCCCGAATCCACAGTTGTATGTTCGGAGTCGTTCATCTTGTTCACTATTGTTGAAGTCTGTTTTTCGTTTGTGTTGCAGGACCAGCTGCTGTTCTGTGACGATTGTGACAGAGGCTACCATATGTACTGTCTGAGCCCTCCCATGTCTGAACCACCAGAGGGTACGTACTAACAGTTGGTTCATTAATACTAACTTGTAGTTGTGTGTTAATGCTTCGAGAAGTTCAGGGGCGCCTGGGTGTGGTCACACTACACCGACCAGAACCACCATCTGGGAATATCTGAGCATCAGTGTAGGCACCTTATCTTTTCTTTACTCTCAGGACATATATATATATATATATATATATATATATATATATATATATGTTTTTAGTTTTTGTCTCAGACTTCATATGCAGTGAAAAGAGGCTGTAAGTCTTTGCTGGAACATTGTAATCTGCAAGAGAGAGAGAGAGTTGGCACTGCCTTTACGATCCCATTAATTGTGCAGGAACATCTATTTAAATCAAGCTGTCATTTTTCCATATAAGATGGCTGCCTCAGGATGTTTGATGGTGTTGTCATGGAAATCAGTTGTGGAAAGATAACTTGTTTCCATGGTAAAAGTGGCTGAAGACACAGTAGCGGTTCCACTTGTGTTTAACGCTTGGTAACAGTGTCAAGCTCAGCCCACACACAACCAGACACTTTTGATTTACCAGCAACGTGTCCTGAAAGCCAGCCTCTCCTTTGAGGTGAACACTCAGGGATAGTAAACTTACTCAACATGGTGTACGCTCTACCATCCCCGCTGTGCTTACTGCTCTCAACATCTTCGCCTGGGATGCCAGGTGATGAATAAATGTCACAAGATCTAGAGGCAGGCTGCAGACCAAGCTACTTGTGAAATCCCCTGCATCTACAAACTGCGGACACAGCATGTGGTGTTTCTTCACCGAGCTTTAATTTACAGCGCTGCTCAGCTCTCTGTGTGAAACTACAGATTAATCCAGCAGGCTTTATGATCGCAGTGATTGAACTTCAGATCTGTGATGTTCCTGATCTTTGTGTCTTACAGGGAGCTGGAGCTGTCATCTGTGCTTGAGACAACTAAAGGAGAAGGCCTCAGCCTACATCACCCTCACTTAATCTGCCCGTCGCCCTCTCCCAAACCGCCGTCATTTCTCCCGTGTTCTTCAGCACCTCCACCTCTCCCAGTTCCACTGATCTACTTGTTGGCGCTCTCTCCTCAATCTGTCCCTGTGACCTTTGGAGCGTGCAGATTAGCCACAGCGCTGCTCCTGCTCTTGAACGTCTCTCCAGCGGCAAGCCGTACTCCGTCCTCTTTTGTTCCTGTTATTCCCTTTTGTGCTTGACCCTAACTTCTGCCTCCCCCTCCTTCGTCTCAGCAGAGGAATTCATCATTCGGCAATAAGTTTGCCAGCAAGACACACACTTCAGCCCGCCAAGGGCACTTCTGAGGCGAACTAATCCACAGGAACCCTCATAAGGGCCCTCAGATGAGCCCTAATGATCTTCAGCTGTGACTCTGTCAAGTAGTGAGTAAGAATTAATACGATGGCGATGTGCTCGAGAGAGGACAAGGCAGTGGAGAACCATGGAGCAGTCTGTCTCAGTGTTTTCCCAACTGTGAAATGTACATTTAACCAAAATTTTATTTTCTTCTCTCTGCCTTCCTTTGTGTGCGGCAGAGCTGCTGAACTCTCCTCTGGTGTTTGTCTGGATGTCCCTTTCAACAGGGGCAGGAATTGTACAGAATTAAAACTGATTTTTGAACCACACAAAGATAAAAAAGACTCATCTCAATGGTAAATAAGGAGCATCCGGTCAGGAACTCAGACCACCGATGACCTCACCCTTTCCTTCTCTCCATGCATGGGGTTCCTACAGTTTAATGGTGCGTTTTGGAGATTGACACTGGAGGTTTTTAGTGCATGGTTACAACGCCTGGATAGAAGGGTTTTTTTTTTTTGATCAGATCAGATCAGACTGTATTTGAAAGATAACAGTTTTGGGCTAGCATCCATTGCAAGCCTATATCTGATCTGCATTCAGTCTGAGCTCTTTTGAAACCCTGACTGTGAAGCCAGTGTGAAAACTGTAAAACTTCTGGTGCTTGATGTGTGTTGTCTATGATTTCAGAATGTAGGACTGGTGTGTGGGTAATGCAGAGCTCATGCAGAGGCCTAAAAAATGTTTTCTATGATTCCTTTTATTTGTATGTGTTCATTTGCATGTTGTTATTTTGATTCTTTTTTTTTTAATGAAACTTTTAATTGAAATGGAAAAGGAAGCACACTTAATTCGCAATAACGTGTTTGTGATACAAACTCTTTAGCCACCTGTTGTGAGTTTAAAGCTCTGTTTGTGCCTGTGTCTGTCTGTGAGTTTCTTTGAGCAGTTTAAAGACTGTGGCCAGTTACAAGTTACCAGTTAAGGAGGACAAATGGTAGTCATTAATTCAAATGAACTAAGGAGAACTGAGGAATGAACCATATATAGACAGGCTGGCTGAGATACAAGTCCCATTGTAAGTCTTAGGTCTAAAGTCCCTGGTAAAATGAAAAGAAAAACTCCAGTTAAAAGAATCAAGTATGTTAACGATATCTTTTATTTGACCAGTCTGGCACATAATGCAAAGTAAACACAGGAAAAGTCCCATTTATAATCTGTGATACATAGTTTTAAAGCTTTAAAAGGCCAAAGCAACATAACTGGGTTTATTCAACACAAAGCAAGAGTCTTTTAATGGACTGAGTGTAACTAGACAGAATTTTTATACAAATCAGTCATATAAAAAACTCGAAGCGTCTCACACTGGCGTCACATTTACCCAGTGTTCATGAACTCATATACATTCATCCATGTGTTCACAGATCAGGTGATCAACTGATCTCATCAAAATATCCTTGTTGGCTCAAATGTAATAAGTAATTACAAGTGACTACAAATGCAATTCAAGGAAGCCCTGGATTTAGACATGGACTTATATATTTACAGAGTAATGGACGTGACTATGTTGGATTAGGATAATCTGCTGCCAGGTTAATAACAGGTTAGCAAAGTATTACCTGAATGAGCAAAGAAATTAGAGAAGATATGCTGAGCCAATTGATGACCAAATCTACTTGTATGTAAGATCAAAGGCATCACTTTCAACTTCAAGCCAGTGAAGCCGCTGTCAGCCTCATTTTTCTCTCAACAAATTTTAAATGCATGGATGATCTTTCAATCATAACGCATAAAGTCAAATTTTAAACAAAGTTTTGGATGACATATGATGTGTTTTTTCCCCCATAAAGTTGAATGCCAGTCAAAATTCTTTGCAGTGCAAGAATATATGTTTATTACAGCCTCTGAGGAAATGTTGTTACAGCGCTCCTATGCAGTAATGTATATTGTTTCCATAGACCAAGGGTACTCATTCAAACTTAAAGTTGCGTGGTCACCTTATTTGACATTTTAAAATTGATGCTGCAGTAGCTGACCGTGGTTGCATACTGTACTACTTGTTTCTGAAAGATTACCGTGTCCTGCTGGCGTATAATTTTTGTTTGCATTTTGTTTGTCCTTGTTATGTAAGTAGAAATACCCTTTGAGTGTATTTAAAATACCAATGGAGGTACAATACTGCAGATGTGTGAAGGGGTTAACAAGGATGTAATGGGCTAAGCTAATTAGCACCTCCTTGCAGAGGTGTTCGAGTTCACTAAAGAGGGAACTAAAGCTGCAGAGGCTTGCTTTTACAAGGGAAATAGCATTTTAAAGTGCTAAATCATTCCAATGAAAAGTTTTTATACAGGTGAATTTTTTATTTATTTAATTGAAAATTTTCTTAGCTTGAAGCTGTGTCCCTGTTTGCGTTTGTTAGGAGCTGAAAATCTGATTGGAGGCTTTGGTGAAGATGGCCTGTAACTTAGATATGCATTGAGACCAGATTATTGATTAATTTAATATTGGTTGCTCCTTAACCATGCTCAGCCGTTGCATAACTGCAAAGCATTGCAGGACGCCCATGCTCTGTCAGCAGTCACGTCAATTGTCGCCATCTGACTTTCTGTCTGATATTTCCGTGGTACTTCCAGCAGATTGAGCATACGTCTGTTTATGTCCCTTCATCTCACCCTGGGGTCTGTTTTAAACGAGGCAGGTTTACTGAAAAAAGTAAATGTTTTTTAAAACTGAAATGAGGGAAATTTTAGGTGTCTTTGATTTTAACGGCTGCATCCTCCAAGGATCTGGTCTACCTGGACTGGATCCGGCAAGGTCCAGGAAAATAAGGAAGCCAGAAGAGTTTGGCTATGAAATCAAACAGGTCCATCCCTCTCTGGCTTTCACCGTCTGTAAGCTCTGTCGCCTATCAACCATGACAGTTGACACACAAAGCATGCAAAAATTGATACAGAACTTCTTACTATCGTTCTGTATGATAATTACATTTTCACGCAGCTTCAACAGCAGTACTGTTGTCGCAAATTTCAGATTTATAGCCCCCAAATTGCACAGATATTGGAATTACTGCTTAAATTTCTACAATTTGCACAGGGAAGGATAAACCAAACTTTACCTGCCACATATCTGACTCAATAACAATTTAAAACAGCAATTTTCATTAATTTCAGATGGAACTATTAACATACTTGCATTGTTTTAAACCGCACTTACAATATTCCACTCTGCTCGATGCCATTTCCCCGTTTTCTTGGACTAGCAATGAATCACAGGACACCCAAGGCTAGGATACACCAGACCTGTCCTTCAAACCGAACAAAAAAAAAGGCTGCATCTGTCGGCGACTTAATGAGGAGTCTTCCAATCCAAACAGGCCATAGCGCCGTGCTATGATGAATCTGGCCTTCGGAAGACACAGCGTCTGAATTCGAACTCAGCATATGAGTTTTCCGTTTCACAAAGAGTGTTTAATCAACCTCTGCTTCTGTGACCATAGTAGCATTCTCCCTAGATCTACCCTCATTGGGAGCAGGTTTTCTTTAGTAAACTCAGAGTGTACTCCATCCGCATAAAGCCAATCACGTTTTTTTTAGTTCCTGATTTAGTCAGGAGAGCTCTGTTGTAGTTTTGTGTTAAAAATAAAAAGGAAATTAGTCACTAGCTCTGTTAGAGACATTAGCTTTTAAAAAAACGCAAACATAGCATGTCCTTTAATTAGAGTGGCATTAATTCATAGAGAACTAAATATTTAAAGAGACAGGGTTCTCAGACTGCGTAAAGATGTCCTTTATGTTTAGAAAGTTATCATTATAAGCGCTACTGTTTTGCCTCTTAGTCCATTAAATACATCCGCAACCTCATTCGTCCACGCATTTGCAGCATGATGCAGACTTCTTTCACAGGGTTTTATCTGATCTTGATATCAGTGAGAGCATACAGATATGTGACAACTGCATTATAAAAAAAATGCAAGGTCAGAAACCTATTTAACATTTATTGTGTAATGTGAGACAGGATCCAAACTGAGGAGGAACCCTATGAGATGATGCACAGGTCCTATCTGTTTGAACAGGGTTTTTATACTCCATCTTAACCTGCTGACAGCTGTGCTTCTCTCTAGTGCGACTGCAGCAAAATATAATACATTGATAAACTACCATTCAACCAGGAAGTTAGTTTTCCCCCTAATGTTATTGTATTAAAAACAGTCTATGGCAGGCCGTTTAGATATTTATTAGTTTGTCTTAATAGGTATTTTTGATATCCGATTTATTTATTTATTTTTTTTTTTGTTACACTCTAACAATACAAACACTCTAAAAATTCTGGATGTCTAAAAACTGATTTCAGATCTTCATATTCCTGCTGTTATAGTTCATAATTTGTTTTGTTTTCAGATCAAGACATTTTTAGATATCATAAACACATATTCTGTCAAGCTGAAAAACTTGAAAATACCACTTAAAATGTGTAAACACTTCTGGGTAGAAACTATATAAATTTAATTCTTACTATCAGAATTTTATTTTTGTTGTTTCCGAAATTCAGTTATAGCAGCAAAAATGTCATTTAGAAAATCTGTTATTACAGTTCCATCTAGGAATATGATTTTGACTAGATATAATCATATTTAAGTGATCTACAAACGGAACAACAGAGAGGAGAGAGCTTTTAATAAATGTCAAAATGGCCTGCCATTTAAACTCCATATAAAACTGCATCAACAGCAGTCTTCTCCTATGTCACCCTAGTCTCCCCTGCAGCTGTAGTGCTTTTGCTCTGTCTTTTAAACACATTCTCCACTTTCTTTTTCATTTCTGCATTAAAATCTCTATTTCTTGTGGTATGAAATAGGCACTTCCTGGTGCCTATTTTGATGGTGACTTAACCTGACTTAACCTGATGGATATGCGGAGCAAATCCATCTGGAAACCTTCCGCTGAAGTAATTTTGGGAAGGGGCGAAAATACTGGTTAGCTGATTGACCTATGTTGGTGATAGACGGGCCAAATAAACCAATCAGATCAACAAAGCATATGACGTACCAACAGAGCGATGATGAAAACACAACCACAAGCCAGGCTATTCTTTCCAAAACCAGTCGGGAGAAGAGCAAAAACATCTTTTCCTCTGAGAAAAGCCTCCAGAGCAGTGTTTTGCTCTTCTTTCAGTGAAGTAATACTCTGTAATTGTGATAAAAGTTGCTCCTAACGCTAGTTTCATCGGCTGAAGCCGCCATGTT